CGTACAGTTCAGAGAGTGGCTAATGAGTTCGAAACTGGTCTGCAAGTGTGCCCGTTCCAAAATTGAAAGTCGACTCTTTCAGTTGTATTGCCAATTGCATATGCAGGAAATTTTCTGTGAAGATTCCTGCACTGACGCCTGTCGGATATAATCCAACGCCCGTCGTGGTATTAGCCAGGGGAGTAGTTGTTTTCTGATAGGCGTCAGTCCATTCAACCTACTGTGTAGGTATATTCGAGACTGTCTTGAATGTTTAAAGTTCATTTCTTTAGATTTGTTTACTGCTAGTCTTCAAGCATAACCCACTGACTAATAAGGAAGTAAATGTTAATGCTTCCAGTGTTTTGTATAAACCATGTACTTGATACTTGTACCATGTACTTGAACCATGTAATTGATACTAAGAATATAAGGGAGATGGAAACAAATTAGAAGAAAGGCTAATTAAAACTAGGAAAAGCAGGAAAAATATACCTAAAATCATCAATAACTGATACAATTGACTGCAAGATTTTCAATAAAAGGGTTTTACAAAAAACATGACATGTTTTGCGTTTTTTCAAGGACAAAATACAAACACGACAGGAAAATCCTTAAGGGGCTCTAAGAGCGGTGCCTGTGCGAAGTAGCGATTCACATTCGATTTGAATCACTGGAAAAACGTTCTCAGGAAGTTTATTCCACATAAACGTAGTTCTCCAAATGAAATAGTTCCTTGAGCAGTGAAGTTCGAGGTGTACTGAGTTGAACTTCAGAACGATGAGCAGCCATGTACCGCTATGAGCAGCCATGTACCGCTATTGGTGGAATCAAATGTGCCAAGTCACTTGAACACTTCCCGTGAAAATATCTATAGAAGAGAGACAAATCTCCAACTTTTCTTCAATGTTCCAGGTTATCAGGTTTGCAAGTGATGTTTGTGTCTCCAATTAGACGGATGGCTCTTATATGGATCGAATGCATCAGCTTCAGGGTAAGCTTAGGGGCGGAGGTCCATACATGAGAACAATACTCCAAAGAAGGTCTGATCTGAGCTTTATAGAGCATCAAAAGTTGCTGAGGTGTATAGTTTTCTGGTTCTAAACAGTGTTCCAAGCTTTTGAGGTTTTGCCAATATACAAACATAAGGGCTCTCGATCTGACTGTGCATCTTACAGGCCTATATCGCTACTTAGTCAGTTTTCTAAGATTATCGAAAACTGTTTCTATCAAAGATTATATGATTGCTTTGAATCATTCAGATTATTTTCTTCTAGTCAGAATGCTTATAGAAGAAATAAATCTACAGTTGATGCCATTGATCAACTCATTAAACATGCGCTGGAAATCTTGGAAAACAAACAGCAGACTTTAGGATTATTTTTTGATTAGAGCAAAGGCTTTTGACCTCGTTGACCATGACATAATGTTAAACAAATTGCAGTTTTATGATATACGTGGCTCTGCATTGAATTGGGTTGGATCTTACCTGACTGATTGTAGTCAGCTGGTCTGTGTTCAAAAGCTTCCATTACTGTCATTTTTGCGGACGATACTAACATCTTAGTCTCTGTGGGAACTATGTCGGAAGTAATTGTCAAAGCTAATGAAGTAACTGATCAAATTTCTGAGTGGTGTTCTATAAATGGCCTGCTGCTAAATTCCGCTAAATCTCAAATGCTCAACTTTGTTACTAAAAATACAACAATTGATTAAAGCTATTTGGTTAGATTAAATAATGAAACTTCACATCCAGTTAATTGTACTAAATTCTTAGGTGTTTATATTGATAATAAACTTACCTGGAAGTTNAAGATATACAGGATGTTAGTCAATAAGATAAGATAAGATATTTATTCACCTTCAATAATTTCAACAGAAAAAACAGTATGTTACAATAGTCACTCAATAGTTTTTGTTTAGATTGTAAGTATTCTCAAAATAACTTATATGTACATATATGAACAATTTCACACAGAAACATTTATCACAAACTCTAATCCACACTCTTGACAAGTAAAACATAAATATTTAGACCCATGAATGCAGAAAATTTTTATTTATATCATATGTTGGATTCAGTAGCAATGATTGTTTTAGTTGGTATTTTAATATTTTAGTTGTGTAATACTTCCATTCCACTGGTATTTAGTTGTAGAGTGTTATAAACTTCAGGGGATAATTTTGCATGAATAATGACAGTTTGCTTATAACTTCCAATAGCAAATGCTTATATGATATATTACTGACATTCATAAAAGGTTCTACAGTTTCAACATTTGACAATTGACAGACATACTTCTGACAGTTATTCATCTAAGAAATGTACTTCATCTAGCCTCTCCAGCCAAGCTATTACTGAGTCTAAGAACAGCATCAATTGTTTGTCAAGCTATCATATGTTTAATAGTATGTTGAATTTTTTATCTTATTTTGAGACGTTGTCTACATCTCCCTTCAATTCAAAAGATTTGATATTACCTATATCTCCTTCCCACTTTTTGACATAAAAGGGATTCGTTATCTGACCCAGGCTGTTGTCACGATTTGAACATGATTCCTCTTCACTAGTCCCTTAGTGTTTTTCAATGCTGAGAATCTCCATATATTTTGTTAGGTTATCTTGTTCATTCCTCAGATGAATCTAGTAAAAGTTCTCCGCTGGCAATTTTTTGAGGTCGATTTTAACTTGGTCAAATTCGATATTTTAAGTTATATATTATTCTTTTGGCATTGAGAATAAGGGATATTTCATTTCGTTAATCTAACAGTGAATTTTGACCTACCTTGTTTTGATCATGATTTTGCTGGTCATATGTTTACTACTGAACTTCTCACTCTCTATTGTTCTTTTCTTCCATATTTTGTTGTTCACTGAGACATTTATTCACTGATTATAAAAATTTGCTAGATAAAAAGTTAGAATTAGCATCCAATGGGAATTGTTTTAAAGATGATACACATTTGTTGAATAACTAAATCGCCATGATTTGTTGATCAATTTTTAATGCTTTTCATATTCTGGGTATCATTCCAAAAGGAAAACCATTAAATGAAAGAATATGTCCTCTAACTTTCTTTCCTTTGAATTAGCTCCCTATATAATTAAAAGTTCTGTAGCATATACACATCAAATCAAACTTATTTCAATAATAAGATGCCTTTATTCATCATATCAATGTTTACAAATGCATGTTTAACAAGAATGATGAATGGGCGGGGTTCAGCTATTAAAGCTGCTTTTAAACCCAACCTTGGACGTACACACTTAATCTATCAGACCACAAAAACCTTCAATTGAGCTCAGAGAAAAGGCTTTGCCTGTACATAAATCTCTGGGAAATTCTGAGACTCCTCAGTTCTTCAACAGAGTTGTGAGTTTCATCATTATATATGTATATAGTATATAATATACACTTGTTATTACCCTAATACATAAATCATAAGTTAATTGAACTAAATCAGAATTAAGTTATAAGAAAATGTTTAGATCAGAAATGTGATGAATGCTGAACGATTGTAGTTTAAAATGAAAATTTAAATTCAAAACATATCATTATGTAATAACATTTCTCATATAAACATTCTACGAATGCGTTGAAGGGTAACAAATGATTTTGTAATAGAAATCGCTAAATTCCGAGATCAAAGTCTGGATTTGAGTAAATTTTCAGTTCGAAGTCGAAATTTGATAAAACTCTGTGTTCCAAGTCGAAATTTCATAAAGTTTCTAGTCTAAAGTCGGAATTCAACAAAAACTCTGAGAATACTCAGGAGTTTTCTTAAATCCCAAGTTGAAAATTAGAATTTTACTAAATTTTGCTAGAAACTTGGAATTTGTTAAATGTTATTTTTAAGGAAATATGTGGCTCTTCTACTCTTCATATTCATTTATTTTTTCCGCAAAAAATCTTTGTTCATAAAATATTGATTCTTCGAAAATTTTGTTAGTGAATAATTGAAGTTTGCCATTGAGTTTCAATCGTTTCTTTGAGTTATTTAATAAAGATGAGGAATAGAAAAGGAACAAGAATAGGTTCTTGTAGGTCCCAACACAAGATATACAGGATGTTAGTCAATAAGATAAGATAAGATATTTATTCACCTTCAATAATTTCAACAGAAAAAACAGTATGTTACAATAGTCACTCAATAGTTTTTGTTTAGATTGTAAGTATTCTCAAAATAACTTATATGTACATATATGAACAATTTCACACAGAAACATTTATCACAAACTCTAATCCACACTCTTGACAAGTAAAACATAAATATTTAGACCCATGAATGCAGAAAATTTTTATTTATATCATATGTTGGATTCAGTAGCAATGATTGTTTTAGTTGGTATTTTAATATTTTAGTTGTGTAATACTTCCATTCCACTGGTATTTAGTTGTAGAGTGTTATAAACTTCAGGGGATAATTTTGCATGAATAATGACAGTTTGCTTATAACTTCCAATAGCAAATGCTTATATGATATATTACTGACATTCATAAAAGGTTCTACAGTTTCAACATTTGACAATTGACAGACATACTTCTGACAGTTATTCATCTAAGAAATGTACTTCATCTAGCCTCTCCAGCCAAGCTATTACTGAGTCTAAGAACAGCATCAATTGTTTGTTAAGCTAGCATATGTTCAATAGTATATTGAATTTTTTATCTTATTAGTAGTAAAATGGATTTTATTTTCTGATAGAACTGATTGACGTTTTTGTTGATTACAAAAAAATTGAAATTCAAAGTGCATCTATATGCTTTACAGCTTTGGCAGTACCAATGCCATTTCCAGTACAACAGCCAAGTCACTTCTCTAGCGACGAGTAAACTCAGCCTGGTCAATAACATATCCAGTGGATATGTCGTTGTCACTTTCGCAGACAACTCAATCCACTGCCTCTACCGAGACACTTTGAAGCCGATAGCCTATACGAATCTTTCCGTCATACCCCGCTACCTGGACGAGCCGAACGCCAAATACCAAAAAATTAGCACTGACATCTCCAGCATTGATATGTCGTGGCTTGGAAACGTGTTGCTTTGTGTTGATTCCGACGACAGCTTGCACCTGTTTAAGCTACCTCCGCAGATCGAGAGCGCGGCCCCGCTGAGCGTTCCCTACTGCACCACCATCCTGGAGTACTGCTTGATGAGTGGCTTGGACTGGCTGGACCTGTTGTTGGTCCTGAGGCCGGGAATGCTTGATGCCATCTGCGATAGGTTGACTGAGAGCTTCAACAGACAGCCGCCGGCCATTCAGCAGTTTTTCTACATTCAGTATTTGTGTATCAAGACGTCCTTGTACAGGTGAGTTAAAGAATGTTTGCAGCAGAAAGGGGTAAGTTTGCAGCAAATCGAAATATTTTTTATTAATATAGATGCACTTGGACGGACGGTAGCTGGTTGGTTGAGGTGGGTGGTTTGCTCTACTCATTCAATCGACTATTGTATGAACCGGTGGTTCGAGCCGCAAGTTTGGACAATCGATTTTCACTTCCTATCGTCCAACCCGTATTAGGAATCACACATTAAAAAGTAAGACCTCGTTAGTCCTTAGCTCGCACAAGTTTCGACTTTTGAGAGTTGTCATTCATAGGTGGCGACAGCTGGTTAACGGAAAAACGTACTTTAAACAGTAACAGCACTATTATAATAAATTTAACAGCAGTTTTCTCCTAATCGACATTTTGTGGACTTTACCACTTGATCAAAAATTAATCATGTTTAAAAGTGGGCATGTCTCTGTCTAATTCAGTGACATGACAGATTTCCAGTCAAATACACCTACTTAATGCTGATTGGTTTGATTTGATTACCAAGTGTTCTATGTATTTTATTATTATTGACTAGTTTCGGCTATTACACCATTTACACCAAGTTTTGTTGTTCTATGTATGCCTATAAAATCTATTATTTCTTGGTCATCTTCAAAAAGGTCATTGATAGTTTTGAACATACAAAAGTTAAGATAACGATATCAATTTGGCAAAGTACAGACATTTGTTAATCATGGTTACTTTGAACAGTAACTCAATTTCAGAAAATTTAACAAATTGTTATTTATAAAAGTTATATTTAGAATTGAAAGTTATACTGAAGCTAAAAGTCAGGGACTCAAATGGAAGATGTTGGCTGTTACTAGTTTGTTGGTTCATCATGGAAAATGCACTTTCTGCTTGGACTTGGGGATTGTTATATTTTATCGTTTGTTAATAGCTGCATGAAAACCTCAATATAGATATTGACATCTTTTGACGAGATGTTAAGTACCCCGTTTTTTTTTCTTAAGATCATTTTTTTCACAAGTTGATTGTTGTTATTCTACAAATACTATGAACTAAACTAACTACCAGAAGTTTTTTTTTCATTCGTTTCACTTTCATTTATTATTATCATCATATCATTTTGGGCGGGGTTTTATTTCATTTTAGGCAAATATATGTGTTTGTGCTTCACATGGAAAGTGTAACATGAATTTTTCAGATTAAGTTTCCAAGGCCAATCGAAAGCCAACGATTTAACCCAGTACCTGATGCTCCATAGTATTTCTACAGCTTTCAAAAGTTTACTCAGACCGAGTGAGATGAACAGCCACGAGAAAAGCCCTGCCGATTCTTTAGCGAGTGAGTAACAATATTATATATATCACACTCGAACTCGATAATTTTATTTATGTCTGATAAAAACTTTCCAGGTGTCATTGCAGAAGGCCAGAGTGATGTAGATAAAGCTTTGACTCTTATGCACCTTGAAGCCAAAGAATTCACTGTCGAGACCACAACTCTTCAGAGCCTCCAACAACTCATTCAGTGGGTGGCAGATCTCGCATTGAATCTCCTCATCAAACTCCCTGACGGAAGACCAACCTCTCCTAAGCCTTATGAACTGATTCGAGACGTTAAGGCTCTAAACATGCTCCGAGAAATGCTGGTTCTTATAAGGATTTGGGGGCTTCTCAGACCCGCGTGTTTGCCAGTCTTTATCAAGTCTGACACTAACCTGGACGTGCTTGCGCTTGTCTTCCGATTGTTGAGCAGACTTGTGCAGAATGTCAATGAAGATGTTGTCAGTCACAGTCAACACATTATTTTCGATATCCCTTTTCAATATCCCTGTATTCTTGATACCTCTGTGTAAGTTCTTATACATCTTCAAGAGAATACAATGGCAATCTTAGCAGAGGCTATCAGTCGGGTAGTATTTCATTCTCTTAATGTCTTAATTGGTGTCTTGTTCCGTCAAACCTAATGGAAACATTAGAACTAGGTTCAGTTAAAATATTGGTTGTAAATGAGATTTTCAAAACGTTTTTCATCAAACCAATCATCTTAGTTGCCAATTTAGGAAAGAATACAGTTTAGATTCATATTATGAGTATGATTTTTTTGTCGCGGGCTTGTACAAAGTTTTCGACGCAGTAAATCACCTTACAAAAAAATAAGGTTATGATCTAATATGTCAAATTTTAAATCGTGCGATCTTTGTATTTCAAATTTATTTTTGAGAATAAAAAAAAGTTGGTTCATCATGGAAAATGCACTTTCTGCTTGGACTTGGGGATTGTTATATTTTATCGTTTGTTAATAGCTGCATGAAAACCTCAATATAGAAATTGACATCTTTTAACGAGATGTTAAGTACCCCGTTTTTTTTTCTTAAGATCATTTTTTTCACAAGTTGATTGTTGTTATTCTACAAATACTATGAACTAAACTAACTACCAGAAGTTTTTTTTTCATTCGTTTCACTTTCATTTATTATTATCATCATATCATTTTGGGCGGGGTTTTATTTCATTTTAGGCAAATATATGTGTTTGTGCTTCACATGGAAAGTGTAACATGAATTTTTCAGATTAAGTTTCCAAGGCCAATCGAGAGCCAACGATTTAACCCAGTACCTGATGCTCCATAGTATTTCTACAGCTTTCAAAAGTTTACTCAGACCGAGTGAGATGAACAGCCACGAGAAAAGCCCTGCCGATTCTTTAGCGAGTGAGTAACAATATTATATATATCACACTCGAACTCGATAATTTTATTTATGTCTGATAAAAACTTTCCAGGTGTCATTGCAGAAGGCCAGAGTGATGTAGATAAAGCTTTGACTCTTATGCACCTTGAAGCCAAAGAATTCACTGTCGAGACCACAACTCTTCAGAGCCTCCAACAACTCATTCAGTGGGTGGCAGATCTCGCATTGAATCTCCTCATCAAACTCCCTGACGGAAGACCAACCTCTCCTAAGCCTTATGAACTGATTCGAGACGTTAAGGCTCTAAACATGCTCCGAGAAATGCTGGTTCTTATAAGGATTTGGGGGCTTCTCAGACCCGCGTGTTTGCCAGTCTTTATCAAGTCTGACACTAACCTGGACGTGCTTGCGCTTGTCTTCCGATTGTTGAGCAGACTTGTGCAGAATGTCAATGAACCTGATGAGGCACTCATAGGTAAGTTCTTGTATTTCATCAGTTCGGACTTCCGTTATCTAATATGATGTAAATTGATTTGAAATCCCTGAAAGAATCTGTAAAAAAATTTAAAAGATTAGCTGAAAAAACAATTTTATCAAGCAAAAAACTGAAATTACAATGAAATAACATACAAGCAAAGACCAAAAAAACAAAAAATTGAACTTTTAACACTATCTGAAAAAATTAAAACATTATTAACAAGAAATGAAAAATAAAAATATAAAATTAAAGGATTCCAAACCAAGTTATTTCACGACGTTTCGATTGTTAGTATCCACAATCGTCTTCGGGTGATAACTGGATTTATTCCTTCAAGATCTGACTATTTATAGGTCATTCGACTGTTTTCACCTATCCCCTCTTCCCTCTTCCATCCCCTCTTCCCTCTATCCGCATCATTGGTTTTTAGCGGGAGCTGACCGTTTAGTGGGAGCTGACCGTTTAGTGGGAGTTGGTCGTGTTCCACTTGATTAGAGGTTTCCATATGTTACGTATTTCTACGCTACCTTGGCTAAATGCGTTGTTGGAGAACATATAACGCGACTTCTTTGAATTTTCTCCTAAACCAGTGTTACTCTTTGTGGATGATTTCAGCCTGAGCCCACTTGATGTTATGTTGATGAGTCCAAACATGCTCTGCTATTCCGGATTTAGTAGTTTGTCCTCGCTGTGTGTGTTTCTTGTGCTCGGCACAATGATTACTCGTGATCCCTTTTTTGCAGGAATGTTAGGCGGACACATTCTCGAACCATCAGTTCACCCTTTCATAATCGTGAGTTTCATACCAAGTTTCGTCCAAATAGAAAATTTGTCGTTGTTCTTGCTTACATTTAGTTATTTGTTCTAAGTATTTGTTTACGCAATTCCACTATTCTTCTGCTTTCCATAACTGCTTGACGTTTATTTATTATTTTAAATCTAAATCCTAGTGTCTTTATCCAATTCTGAAGAGTTTTGTCACAGCAGCTCACGATATGGCTGAAAGTATTCAATTTCTTCTTTTTGATTTCAGATGTAGATTTCTCATTGCTTTTGTAACAATTGTTTATTGTTTTTTTCAATGATTTCAATGATGAGATGAACATCTAAAGGTTTTGGTAATCCTGTATCACATCGCGTCTTGCGTTCATAAGGTTTGTTTTTGACTATTTTACGTACAGTTCAGAAAGGAATTTTGATCAAATCTGATGTTCCTTGTAATAGTTTGTTTTCCTCAAAACCAAACTTATATGTAGATTCTTATATACATTGAAACATACTCTCTGCGTTTCAATATTCAAATGCATCTGAATCTTATTCACTGGTATCTCTTTTTCACATTGTCCACCACCGTTATTGGGATCACTACATGGGAAAAAGTCTGCGTTGTTATTACACTCGTAGTCAACACATTATTTT